TTGTGACTTTTTGGTCGGCCAGGTAGCCTTCTGTCCATGGCTGGTGGCAAAACTGTTTGTAAGTCATCTGGTATGTCCCACTCAGAAGGATGTGGAATAGGGTAGACAATCTCGCCATAAGTCTGTCGATATACTTCTGTAGTGTAGCAATCCATAGCGTATGCGCTTGAATCATCTTGATTTAGATGAAGAGAAACTTTTATAACATGGCCACACGGATAACCAGATGTTTGCCATTTCATACAACTACACGTCTTTGCATTTAGATCGACAAGCCCATTTAAGTTATTATCCAGTACTTCAAACAAAGTGTTTGAACATGGTTCAACTCTCCATGACGTTGACTTCACAACACGTTTCGTTATCTTTTTTTGTCCATGGTGTAACACGATGTTCCAATGTTCCTGTAAATTTAAATAAATAATACTTAGTAAAATATATGATAAGTTAGAATTTAAAGAAATAATACATGCATGGTTTCTTTTCTTGTAGTACCACTGTTGAATAGAGGCTCGAAAAAACTCCATTAACATAGTAATGGGTGATTTCCGGGAATGACGACTTAGAGCGTTGATTGATTCTGCACTATTAGACGTCATGAAATCATATCTTGCTCCAAGTTGATGTACTCTTGACCATCTTTCAAACCCGACATCTTCTAGTGTTTGAGCACACTGAGGCAAAATACGTCTTAAACAATTTATATGCTTATTAAAATCCACTTCCCGATAAGCTTTTACACCTTTCAGTATGTCCATTTGTTTTTTTATACCAGCAGACCTTGATTTTAGATTTCTATACAAATGAACACCACAAAGTCCATGAAAAGCATCTGGGAAACACCTTCTAACAGCGTTGTCAATTGAGTTTGCCCTATCGGATATGATTGTCAGATTGCTAATAGGACCTATGCAATCCCTAAGATGCCCCATAAACCATGTCCATGAATCAGAGGTTTCAGATTTTCCAACCCCGTAAGCTATTGGCAGTATCTCATTGTTAGCATCCATGGCTACTGCTAATAAGTTTACTCCAAGGTATCGACCTTTTAAATGTGCTCCGTCAACTATAATAACTAGGCGCATGCAATTAATAAACGAACGAATCTAAAAAATCATATACACAAGAAATATAATCATTTAAATGTGAAATGCATGTAACTAACAAAAATGAGTCAACAAAATTATATTTATTTACTAACCACAGCACCAATGGCGATAAACAGCAACTCAAAGCGTCCATCTCTATCTGTTTTGATATGAGTTACCGACCCAGGATTTTTCAGCTTTAAATTGTGACAATAAGCCGGCAGTTGGGCAAACGATGCTTCTGGCGACCCCCTCAACAATTCCAAGGCATAACATTTGGCTCTCCAAGCTTGAGAATATGAGATACTAATCTTGAACCAAGCATTCATGTCAGTCATAATTTCATGTTCCCGATATACCCTACCATTCAAAAACATTAACTCAACCAGAAAACCACCCAACACCTTTTGTTTGCCTGTCTATGGTGAGGAAAAACTTGGGTTCTTGAACATGTATGTTTATCAATAAAAGTCCTAACTTGAAACATTTCGCAATCTTTTATCCTCTTTGCAATCATACGCCACATACAGTTTTTATCAATCATACACCTTGTTTCGAAACGATCTTTGCTTGATTTGTTAACTTTTAGTTGATAGCCATCTTCCACACATTTCGTATACAAAGCTATCTTCAAGTCTTCCTTTGTATCAAAACAATCATCTTTCTTGATACGAATAATTTTTGTGTGACAATCAACTGCTATCTTTACCAACTCTTCTTCCGGTATCTGAAGTAATTCTGGCATATTCCAGTTATACTCTCGTGGCATTTTCTTCGGGGACTTTTCTTTGGGGATTTTTTTTCTTCTTCTTTTCTTCTTCAGTGTTATATGAATTACAGAATGGATGTTCAACATGTTCATTTACAGTCGTAACTTCCTCCTCATTATCATCAACAACATCTTCCTCGGCAACGGCTGTTTCATCATAAAAATTCGGGTATTGACCAATATCAAAATCATTACACGCAGGGTCTGTTTCTTCTTCTGAAAAATCATCAAAATCTGAGTATTGACCAAGATCAAAGTCCGGGTATTGACCAAGATCAAATGTCGAATACTGACTAGTACTCACAATTTTTTTTGTTGGCTCATCATCGTCTAACTGGTCAATACGAAAACCGGAATTTGGTGCTGAAAGTTGATTGATTTGGATTAGGGAAAGGTTGTGGGTTTTGAGATTGTGTTTGGTATTGGAAATGTGGTGAAACAATATTTGCTTGGTGATGAAATTGTGGTGGAACCATTAAATTTTGAGCATCATAAACTGAGGTTGAAAAACTTAGTTGATTACTACCCGCTACTGACCCAACTTCACTACTTCTAGGTTCAACAACATACAATGTAACATCATCACTTGAAACACTAATGTAAGCAATGATCGTTCAACATCTTATTGTCGGTTAACAAATAAACTTTACCATTTTTCTGATAAGATAGCCTAAATCCACTTAGGGGCTCTAAATTCAATTTATTTACAACACGTAACATTAGAGTTTTATAAGTTAACTTTTTTAATGACTTTAGTTGAAGATTCATGGGTAAAGGCATATATTGTAAAACACCATGAACATTCTCCCATGGCCCTCCAAAACACAAATCTATCCAAACACGATCAACATTAGATGATTTCATTATTGTAAATTAATTTACTAAACAAACGAGCTGCGAAACTAAAACCTGTTGCCGGATGGGGAAGGATGTCGTTGGATATAGGAACGGATGTCGCCGGAGAGAGTGATAGATGGAGATGAATGAGTTTCGATTTAGGGATTTAGGTTATGAGTTGTTGCTGCTGCGTTTATACCCAAACATTTGTGTTGCGAAATTAAAACCTGTTGAATTCAGAAATCGAGTTGCGAATTTGAAATTCAGTATTGCGATAGTCAGAATCTCGTTGCGATTTACTAAATCGCAATGCGATTAGTAAATCGAAGCGAATTAGGAAAATCGCAATGCGATTACGTAAATCGCAATGCGAAATAGTAAAATCGCAATGCGATTACGTAAATCGCAATGCGGTTACGTAAATCGCAATGCGAATTAGAAAAATCGCAATGCGAATCAGGAAAATCGCAATGCGAATCAGGAAAATCGCAATGAGATTACGTAAATCGCAATGCGTATTAGGAAAATCGCAATGTGATTACGTAAATCGCAATGCGAATTAGGAAAATCGCAATGAATACGTAATCGCATTGCGATTTTCCTAATTCGCATTGCGATTACGTAATCGCATTGCGATTTTCCTAATTCGCATTGCGATTTACGTAATCGCAATGCGATAGTCAGAATCGCGTTGCGAATCTGGAAACTGATTTGCGATACCAGAGATCGCGTTGCGAATTATCGATCGCATTGCGATTTAGTTGGTCATTTTGGAAAATCCAAAAAAAGTTGGTTAAAATCGCATATTATAAGGCATTTTTGATCACTGATGTTATTTTCTATTTTTAACGATAGTAATAGAAAAAAATATTTAAAACTTGAGATGGATTTTTGTAAGTTTTGAGCAAATTTCGTGAAAAGTTAATTAGATGCAAATATTGATATCGATCTTATTACGAACATGAATGATGACGAACGGTGATTGGCAACCAACATCAGTCGAAAAAGATTAGTGCCTAAAACTAAATATTTTTAAAGTTTAATGACAAACTTGATATATCTCTAAAGTTCAATGTGTAAAACATCTTTTTTTTTGTATCTGTAACCGTGCCAAAACGAAGACATTTTGTCCGTATCATCATATTGACAAAAGTACAATTGTACTAGCATGTCTAAACCGAGACGAAGCATGTCGTGATGGGCAGCCAATATCAGCCGAAAAAGTTTAGTGGCTAAAACTAAATATTTTTAAAGTTTAGTGACAAAATCGATATATCCCAAAATTCAAGGGGGTAAAACAACGTCTTTTTGGACCGTGCCAAAACGAATACATTTTGTCCATATCATCATATTGAAAGAAAGTACAATTGCACTAGCATGTCTGAACCGAGACGAAGCATGTCGTGAAGATGTCGTTAATTAGAATTTATCCACGATAACGGCTAATCCATCGGACGTGGCGATAGCTTAGTGGCATACACCGCTGAAATGGTCGTTAATCCACCTCTTTATAAACGTCCCATGGCTGGCCACTCCAAAATGACGGCACCTGTTTCCATGGCTACTTCACTGACGTTCGCATTACTTCCTTCCCAAGGTTACTTTCACTTCGCCATTGTTAACAGCTTGTTTTCTATCACCATTTTGATATTTTCTCTCCCTTGTAATTCCAGGGCTTCGGGGACCCACTCGTAGCTTGCCATGTACAAAACCACAGGTTTTGCTTCTCCAATAATTTTGCTTCTTACTGAATTTCCTCTCATCTATTCTTTTGTTCGGTGAATTTTGAGTCGAAAATATGGAAATTGGAGAGTAGAGTGTGATGTGCTAAAGCTGTTCGGTGAAATGTTTCAACGTGTTAAGAGTTCTCTGATTTTCTTTACAAAGACGCAATTTTTTTTTACAGAGATGCTTTGTGAGAAAGGGTGCTTCAAATTTGATAACAGCCAAGTTTGAGCTGAAGCCGCCCCCATTTCCGCTGGTAAAAACTCTTGTTTATGTAGTTAATATATATCATTTTTGTCGCGTGCTCAAAATGGAACCTTTTAAGACTAGCTGCTAGTATTATTGGGCGTACTTGGGAAGTAAAAGAGATCCCATTGCCATGCTTGTTGCTGGAGCCATAATTTGTTACTCTGTTTACACAAATCTGCAACTTTTGTTTGTGTTCATCGCCATATTCGGTTATGAAATGATGAAATGATATAAACGTATCGACATGGATGGAATGAGGGGCTGACGGGGGCTGTCGTCCCTGAAAATTTCGAATAGGTTCACTCCCTTACATAAAATCTTGCATTGTCTCTGTATATGGAAACACTTGTAAAGTTTTGTTATCTGTTAATGTCTTAAGAATGCATTGGAACCCCACATGAGTCAAGATACCCTGGAGTATCATTGGGGAAAAGACCATGAAACCTATCTGGAGAACCTAAACAAGCAAATCGTAGGAACAGAGCTAGAAGGAATGTCCTTGGAAGACATTGTGGTTGTTTCATACAACAAGGGTGATAAACTTCCCTCCTTTAACAATGCTGCCCAGGTATGTCATACACATCTGTGAGTCCGAGTTTTTGCATATCATATCCGCCCTTTTAAATTTTATGGCCCATATTTGCAGGCTTGGAACCATAACTTCTTTTCGAAATCAATGAAACCAGGTGGTGGGGGAAAACCATCTGGAGAACTTCTAGATCTGATTGAGAAAGATTTTGGTTCCTTCGATCAATTTGTTGAACAGTTCAAGTCTGCTGCAGCTACTCAGTTTGGCTCTGGCTGGGCATGGCTTACATGTGGTGACCACTTGCATTGCATCTTTTCTTATCTCTTGTTAATTTTCTTAGAGTAATGTGTCTGGTTTTTCTAGAAAAAGCATCAGGGAAAGACAAAAAGCTTGAAGTCAAAGTCTTAATGCCGAGAATCCTCTTGTGACCGACTACTTTGTAGTATATTCCTTGCTACACAAGATACAGTGCGATTTTTGCTACATGCTTACAATAGAGATTGCTTTCTACTTAGATTAGTTGCATGTGATATTTATCAACTGTTTATTTTCTGCCCACTCCTCACTATCGATGTCTGGGAGGTAATCCGTGTTCTAAATTATTCTGAAAGTCTTTAAGTGTTAGTCTTGTTAACCAATACTAATTTCATCTCTGGGATATGCTTTGTGTCAACAGCATGCTTATTACCTTGACTTCCGGGTAAAGGTTCATGACTTGTGATTTGCTTGGCATTGTGTGATAAAGGTTATATTTTTTGTTTATAATGTAGTGTTGTGAATCTGAAAACTTTGTAAGTTCTTCCGCCAGAACCAACGACCTGATTACATATCAACGTTCATGGAGAAGCTTGTATATTGGGAAGCAGTTAGTGTTAGACTTGAGAAAGCAAAGGTTCAAGCTGCAAAGTGAGAAAAGTTGGAGAGTAGAAACATAATGATGCAGAGGCTCAATGAAATATACTATGTTTTAAGAACATGCTGTAACTATATTTATATCTTTATTGGATTAATTCTGTAACTATATCTTCATCCCCCAATTTGATCATTGAAGGGTAACTCCATGGGCATATTCTGTTTTGATTCTCCCTTATTCTGTAATCATGGCCACTCAATATCCTTGTGATGTCTGTTCCACTCCAACCCACAAATCTTCCCATTTAAATCGAATGATTAATGCATATCCACAAAGCATAGCTTCAGTTTCAATCCTAAAAGCAAACCCCCTTATTAATAATGAGAAGTTAGTACCCATGTTACTCGAACTTGAGTGTGAGCATCGGATATGTATGTTCGATCTGGTTATGTTTCCGGACATACAGGTATGCTTGAAACTCTGCAGATTCTTAATACGGCCATCACTCAAGACTCCCCTAGAGGCAAGGCAAGAATATTGTGCTGGTAATGGCACCAAGCAAGGGCCTTGACAGCAGTACAATGATAACTGAATATTAATTAACTAAAAAAACTTATATCCAATATTTATTCTCATGTCATTTACACATAAAAATTTACCTAAAAAGTCTGTCAAATTTACCGGCATTCATTGATTTTCCTTTTCCAATATCCCTTGCCTTTGTGATAAATATTTCTTTAAAAAATATCCTCTTTCATTTGTTCTGGTCTGCATTTGTCTTCTTTAACTGATTTGAGACCTCAGAAGTAAAAGTGATAAAATATATCAATTGTGGGAATCAATTGTGGGTGACAATTCGAGCAGACTGCACTTGAACAATGATACAGCTAATTAATGATAGTCACCAGTGTTAAATGAGAGAATTTAACTGAAAAGTATTCGTGCATATTCAAACTATTTATTTATAAGTAGAAGTGAACATTCCATCATATCGAGTCGAGGTAAAAATTCGAGTTATTCTAATTGACAAGTCGTATTTTACAACTAGAATTTTCTCGAGTTGAGACGAGTTTAAGAAATTCGAATCGAGTTATTTGAGTTTATATTAATTTTACTATAATTATTTATAGTATTATGGCAAGGATTTGTTTCAAATTTTCAACTTTTTCTAACTATATATGTTCTTTTTATTTGATATACCAAAAATGAATATTTTTAAAGAATTTTAAGATTATTTTCAATTCGATTTCAAGTTTATATTTCGACTAAATTGTTTGAATATTGAAATTCTTTTTAAGGTTAAAAACTCCATTTTCTCTTTACTCTTTTGAAAATTAAATTCATATACTTGAAATAATTTTCAAATAATTTTACAAAGGGTTTGGATTTTAATCGAGTCAAAAATCGATTTTAAACCCTACAGTACTGATACTGCAAACAGTACTTATATTGTTCATGCAATACCGATACTCTAGATGGTAGTACCAATATTCCGTTCGTGGTTTTGACAAAAATGAATTCTAGTATACCATTTTGGTATTGATACTCTCTGAGTATCGATACTCGCATAAGAGTACCGATACTCCTTTCTCACTAAAAGGTAGATTTTGTAATTAATACAGGAAGTACCGATACTCCAAGCCCGAGTATCGGTACTCAAGGGGTCTGGACATCGTTTATTGTGGGAAATTTCACCCCAACAACTCTATTAACTCTTCAACAACCCAAACAACTAGAATTGAATGAAGAGGTATAAAAACAATATTTCAAGTCATATGTGAAGACAAGAGACATAGAGAAAGTCAAAACAATCACATTGAGCCAAAATCAAAGTCACCATTTTTGAATATTCTTTTTTGCTTTCAAAGAACACTTTTGTACTCATTTGTTTTTATGTTGAGTATTCTTTTTGTTCTTGAATTGTGCAAACAATTTCCTTGTGAGGTTTCCAAGTTTGCTCATTTATAATTACTTCTTGGAAGGGTTACTTGAGACTTTGGGGTATAAGTCTAAGTATATTGTAAGGTTACACCTTGTCCTAAAATGTTAGAAAATTAGTGAATTTGTTGAAATCCTTTGTGGAAGTTAAGGTAGTGGATGTAGACTTCATTGAAGAAGTTGAACCATTAAAATTGTTTGTGTCAAATTTTTAATTTTTCTTGCAAAAAGCTTCCATCAATTTTTTTAATTACCAATTCACCACCTCTTGCCCATTCCATTGATTCGATTGACTCAATAGTATTTTGAGGGTAAAATATTAGAGTACAAAGGATTCAAGGAATTGATGGGAAGAAAAAATTTGTAAACAATTGTAGTCAAAAGACCAAATTGAGTAAAATACAATATTAAGGGACTAAATAAAAAGAGAGTACATTTTTAGTAAAAAGTGAAAATTGAAGTACATAGGTATTTTTTTATTGTATATAAGCATGTGGTTCAATTTGGTAAAAAGGAACTTAAAATAAAGGAGAATTGAAGAAATAAAAAAATTATGAAAACTGAGGAACTAAGTTGAAATTTTGAAAATTTATTATCAAAAAAAGGAATTAAAAGTAGATATATTCTATGATGTTTTAGGAGAACATGGTTAAATTTAGTAAAAAAAATAGACTTAAAATGAAGGAGGAATTGAAAGAATAATGAAACCAGGGACTAAATTGTAAAACTATCAAAATACATAGTCAGATTTTTAATTTTTCGAGTAATTTAAAATTTCAAGATTTCAACTCGACTCTAACTGGAAAACCAAATTGATAGTTCGATTTAACTCAAGTAACTCGAATAACTCAAAATTAAAAAATAAAATTTGATTTTTCGAGTCGAGTTTTACTCACCCCTATTTACAAGCACCAATATTTATACACTTTAATAGCAAAAACTTCTTAGCTAAACACTAATCTAACAAAGTAATTATTCACTAAAAACTTCTAATTACAAGTAAAATTAACTCAACTAACATTCCCCCTCAAGTTGACGATTGAAAGATATCTTTAAACTCTAACTTGACAATCAGGTATTCATATTATTGAACCCCAAGAGTCTTAGTCATTATGTCATCAAGTTGTTCTTCTGATCTCACATATTATGTTCATATTAGACTCCCTCGAATCTGTTGGGAAATAAACGAGTAATTTCCCTATAACCAGATTAGAGAATGTGAAATAAAAGCGGAAAAATAATACCCAAAATTGATAGCGGAGTTCAGCCAATTTTGCCTACGTCTCCGGACTGCTGTAGATCTTTTACTAAAGTGAGAATTTACAAGTGTTTACAAAACACTCACAACTGACAAGAAAGCTCTCTAGTATAGGGAGAAAGAAATGATTTTTGGGATGATTTTGAAGCTAAATGGGTAAGGGTATTTACAGTTAAAGCTTAGGGACTAATCTTGTAAATACCCTAAAGTATAAAGGGACTAAAATGTAATTATGCCAAATTATATTTTCAATAAAAATGGGGCACCGAATTCGGTGCCCCCATTTGTTGAAACTTCAGCCTTTTGTTGAATTAGGCGATGCCCCCACCTTTTGACTTTACAATCTTCCACTTGAAGACTGATTTTAATCTATCTTCACACCTCGATCAATGCATCAACATTTTTGGTATTGTTACTCTAGCATGCCAACTGAAGCTGAACACAACTTCAGTTTGTCCGTAGTCACCGTCTTTGTCAACATGTCTGCCGGATTTTGAGCTCCACTAATCTTTTCAAGTTTCAAAATCCCATCTTCCAGAAGAGACCGGATAAAATGATATCGCAATTGTATGTGCTTCGTCCTGGAATGAAAAGGATTCTTCGCTAGATGGATGACACTTTGACTATTGCAATACAAGACACTGTTTTCTGTTTCTCGCCGCCTAACTCTTCCAAGAAACTTTGGAGCCAAACCATCTCCTTGCTGGCTTCCGTAACAACGACATATTCTTCTTCAGTTGTGGAGAGAGCATATCTTATGTAGTTGAGAAACCCAACTCACTGCAGTTCCTCCTAAGTATAGACATACGCTGTAGTGCTTCTTCTGATGTCGATATTTCCAGCTAAGTCAGTATCTACATAGCCTGTCAGTATCGTATCTCCACCTTTGAAACAAAGTGCTTTGTTTGTAGTACCCCGCAGATATAGGATCCATTTGACTGCTTCCAGTGTACCTTGCCTGGATTATTCATGTACCTAGCAGCTCCCACATGAGCATATCTGGTCTAGTACAAACCATGGCATACATTAGACTTCCAATTGTTGAGGCATACGACACCTTCACCATGTGTACACGTTCTTCCTCCGTCTTTGGTGATTGTTCTTTGGAGAGTCTAAAATGAACACCTAAAGGTGTACTTACTGGTTTAACATCTTGCATGTTGAACTGAAGAGTACTTTGTTGATGTACTCATCCTGTGATATCAAAGTCTCCAACTTTGTGTCTCTTAATCCTCATCCCAAGAATCTGCTTTGCATCGCCCAGATCTTTCATTGCAAACTGCTTCGATAATTTTTTCTTCAAATTTATATCTCTTGCATGTCTGCGCCTGCAACGAGCATGTCATCAACATACAACAATAAAATATTAAAGCTGTTGTCGAACTTCTTGATGTAGCAACAATGGTCTGCTTGATATCTGGTAAAACCACTGCTACTCATGAAACTATCAAACTTTTTGTACTACTGTCTAGGAGCTTGTTTAAACTATACAAACTCTTCTTCAACCTGCATACCAGGTTTTTCTTGCATGCCTCTATGTAGCCTTCTGGCTGCCTCATTTAGATTTCTTCCTCCAAATCACTATGAAGGAAAGATGTCTTTACATCTAACTGTTAAAGAAGTAGATTTTCAATACCAATCTGATTGTAGACAGTTTTACGACTGGAGAAAAATTTCATTATAGTCAATACCTTCTTTTTGCTGAAACCTTCGATAACCAATCTCATTTTGTAGCGTTTGCTCCCATCGTGCTCCACTTTGATCCTGTAAATCCACTTGTTGTGGAGCGCTTTCTTTCCTGGTGGTAATTCAGCTAATTCCCACGTCTGATTTGGCATAAGCCAGTCCATCTCATCTTTTATGGAAGACTCCCACTTGACTGAATCCTCCACCTGCATTG